AGAGAGACAGAGAGACAGAGAGACAGAGAGACAGAGAGACAGAGAGACAGACAGAGGCAGAGGCAGAGGCAGAGATAGAATGAGTGACAGAAGGAGACAGAGAGATTGAGTGACAGGGAGACAAAGACAGGCAGAGACAGAAAGAATGAAAACAACACAGAACATGCATCAGATGCATATCTTCATATCTTTTCTGAATAGAGGTTGTAAATAGAATCCCTTTGTTAAGTTCATGATTTTCCTTTTAAGTCTATTTATTGAAGAAAATGAATGAATATTATAACAAGTACTGAATTCAGTTTATTAGTTGAGTTACAGGGGTTGACTATTCAGAGAAACTGGTATCTCTAAATAATGGTATATTATTTATATCTGAAAAATGGTATGTTTCTACCAGAGCTAATAGCATTTTCTGGATAGCACAGACAGAATCTCTCTACTTTTGTTTAACTATATATAGAGTCTTTGCTAGAACATTTGCTTTCCTTTTGAGGTTCATTTGAAGAAAAACTCAATGTCTTGATTTTCGAAGCATATATACATTAAATTTTGCAAAATTCTCAGGAAAAAAGTGAAAATTGCTTCTAGAATACGTAGTACAATTCATGGGAATAAGCTGATGGAACTAACATGGCTGTGTGAGGTAAACACCTTTGAAGAAAATTAAACTTTGAAGTGAGCTTCGGAGAAGCCTGAGATGGTCAGGTGTATCAGGTGAATGGGAAAGTTGGGCAGGGGACGCTGTGATCTATCAAGGGCACGGTGACTCCAGGGAAGTTAGGAAGCCTGTGTGGGGCCAGAGGTGGAGGACAGCACCCGAGACTGGATGGGAGTGGAAAGACGCTCGAGAGTCTGGCATTCCAGGCCATTGACCTAAGGTCCACTCTCAACAGAACAGTAGCCTTCTACATTTAATTGAAATTCAGTGTGGGAATTACAGCTGCAGTCAGAGATTTAGTTCCCCATTATGACATCTTGACAAGTTCTGCTTTAGAACCAGCGACGTTGGAAGTTGCAAAGAAAAAATTCTTTCCAAAGTGGTTCATTGTGATCCTAAATCTTTGGCAACCTAGGAATCATACATCAGCACTAATTGCCAGACTCCACTGGCGAGAGACACACTTCTTGGAATACAGTCCCTGTGCCAGTTTCAGCGATGCGGAAACACATTCAGGCGCCAAACGCAGACTCCCGCACCCTGCTGCACATCTTCTTGCCGTTTTGGGAAGAAAACCCGTAAGGAGTGAAGCACGCAGTGAAACTTGTCCAGTTCTAGAGCAGCAGCAAAGAAATGTGAAGAATGAGTGTAGACCTACCGTAAAAATTTAAAGTGAGTGTTTTTTCCGATACATTTCACAGCCTGTGAGCGCCGCTGTTTTCCAGATTTCATCGTCATTTCTAAATCGCTGCTGGGGTCCATTCCACACAATTCCCTACCTCACTGTGTCTCTGTCGTGCATTTCATGTGGCAGTCTGAAGAGTTATCTGTGGGTAAGGAACAGTGTCCCTTTCTTGTACTTGAAATCCTTACCATTACTACAGTCCTAATCGAATAAGGTCAGGATTTTCAACAGGATGCCTGCCGCTCCCCACAAACCAGTGCCTGCACAATTCCCATTATAAACAAAGCACAAATATAAGCTTTTGCTATCTAATTTCAATTTCCTATAGAATTTGACATGGATTTGTGAGGCAGATCCTAGACTACCTACAAAGCAGTCCGAGAGTCATAGTGGTAAACATCTGTAATGTCAGCCCTCTGAGTGGCTGGAAGACTGTTTCCAAAACACACCTTGGGGTGGGTGTTTGAGGAACTTTGGCACACACTCTCAAGTGAAAAACAAAGTATTAAAATGGGATGGAAATACATTTTGATTCCTAGGACTGTTAAAAACAAAACATAACACTCTTGAAATTATAATGAACAAATGACCTCCTCTTCTCCTTGCAAAAATTAAGTTCTTGTCCTCCAATTTACTTTGGCTACAATAAGTGAAAAATATTCATAGCAGGTGAAATTCTTTGAAAACAAAGATCCACTCATATCTCAATTCTGGTGAAAAAAGAAAGAGGGTCAATAGATTTTAGACTAGCAATCCAACTCAGACCTCCATCTCCTTCCAAATTTAAGAAGGATCAGTGAAGAGAAGAAGAGAAATACATCCTCCGTATTATTCTCTCCTTAAAAATGGAAGGAAAGCCCTATTTTCACTTTAGTAACACATGTGATATTAGTGTTGTTTACTAACCCTATGAATGTATTGGCATATGGTAAGTTTTATCTTTCCTTTAAGATCATGGGTTTTGCACTGCTTGATGTTTGGCTAAAACACTTATGGCTTCTCCAAAGTTCTGCATGGTAGCATGCGTGATTCTTGTGGATGAATGAGAATCCTAGTCCACCTGGAGACGTGATGTTCTTATGCTCAATATAAATTTCTGGAAATATTGTAGCAGAAAGTCTGTATGAAGACCCAAGGATCTATATTTACTGAATTTTGTAGCCTCATTGCTCTGACTATTCTTTTAAGAGAGCCCATATAATGATTTAAACACTGAAGAATTATTTGAAGTCATTTAAAAATTTCAAAAAACGATCTCATTAAACAAAATGCCTCTTCATTCCTCCCATCTGAGGAAAATATAACAATTGCCCCTTCCTTTTTCCACCACCAGCTGTTGTGGCTTGTTACCTGATTTTCAGTAAGTTTTCCCCATTTTGGCTAAGTGGTTGGGTATTAGGATTAGATGGATACATAAATGAAAGAGTGATGGATGATGAATTCCTAGAGAAATGCATTGAAATACAGTTGCCCGGATGAATACAGATAAAGCTTTTGAGGCACAAGAATGATGCAAGATGCAGGGTTAGGGGATGCTCTGGAAAGTAGCTGGGTTAGTGTCTCAGAAAACTAATGAAGAAACAGATGAATAAACGAGTAAAGGATGAGTACAGCAAGATGAGCAGAAGTACAGTGTTGAAGACCTTGAACGTCCATCCTACCAAATTTCCCAAGTTAAATGAGCCACCACAACAAATAAAACACTATTCTCATATTCAATATAACAATTTCAATTCAAAGAAGTTTAAACATTCAATTCTGCTTGAGAATTATAGATATTAATGCCTGAAGAAGCTAATGTCTGGACATTGACATGAATAAGACTGTTGTGAGCAGGCATGGAACTGTCTGCGTAAGAACTGTGACCCTATTTTGGCAGCAATAGTTTCGAAACTGAACCTCTAAACATAAGAAAAAAGCAGTGAAAAGTGTCTTGAGTCTGCATAAATCAAGCAGCCTTTCATATATCTACAGGGAAATAACAGTCTAAAAAATGGTCTGTAATTATAAAGAACTGCTTTTTCTGAAATTGCAGCTCTGAACTGAAGATAATGCCAAATGCAAAAGAACAGCTTGCATGTCAGTGTATGAGTTGCAAAATAATACACAATGATCATCAAACTTCTCAGAGAATATTAGAAGACAGAGAAATTTGTTGTGAATGGTGTGGATTTTAAAATTTCTACCTACAGAGATTAATCACAGGCTACAGCATGAGAAACCTTGCTAAAAAGTAGAAGTATATTATGCTAGTTCTCTGTAAGGTAAGGATTTTACTATTAAATTATTTTTGAGCAGTTAAATAGTGAATTTAAAGTAACCAAGTACATGAAAATCTATTATTTTGCTACATCTACATCTCATTTCTAATATAATTTTAATTACAAAATAAATTGTGAAGATTGACAGGTTAAAAAGTGCACACATTTTAAGTGTATGGCTTTGTGAAATCCTACAATTATCCAACTTCAGATAAACACTAACACAGCCAGAATATAGGCAATTTTCATCACCCAGAGTTATATTTTATAATTCTATTGTGACAATTTAGTTTTCTTTGCCCCAGCACTTCCATATAATTAGGTCCATTAAATATATTACCTTCTTGATCTAGTATTTTATTCAGCATGTTTCTGAAATTCATCTATCTTTCTTGTATCACTGGAACATTTTAATTTTTGTGTGATGAACTCTGAGTTCATAAGCAGGTAGGGTGATTTCAGTTCTTATTAAATGGCCCATGTCTTCATACAGTGTATTCCATAACAGCAGACAGAGTGAGATAACTTGGTATATGTCATATGTTATAAGAATATTAATTCTTAGCAGATGTACAGAATAAAATTGCAGCTGAAGTCTGACAAGAAGAGAGAGCTAGTCAGGTAAACATTCCTCAATTGAAGATGGAAGGCGTGGTGGCAGTGAGATAGAAGATACACAGGAAATAAACACTCCACCATGAGAGAGATTCACACAGTCAGTGAGTGAAGGAACTGCCCTGTGAATCTGCTGCAGGCAGTTATTACTTGAGGCAGTTATTACTCATGGTGGGGCCGACAGAAAAAGATCAGTGGATTTTATCTAGTCTCACTCTAAAGACTAGCCTGAGTAGACTTACCCATTCCTGACTTACTCTAAACTTTATAAGGGTGCTGAGAAAATTTGCTGTATAATTCACTTTTCAGACTCAATAAATGTGCAACTTCTCTGATATGAAATTGTTGATATAGTATTAAATAGTCCTAAGTGTCAGCTTAAAGAGCCTAACTTGTTGAAGCCAGTAGAATAGTTAGGAGCAGGGCCACTAGATGAATGAAATGCTATTTCTGAGAATAAATCTGAATGAGAAGGTGGAGTTTCAGAGATATAAAACAGAGTATCAAAGACATCTTGTTGTAATTCTTCATGCAGGACATGTTCATTGGCCCACTAGTGAGCATGAAAACTTTTCAAAATCTTATGGACACCAAGATGTTGGAAGTCAGAATGACTTAGCATGTTTTATATTGTACTTATTTATTCTTCTGTAAAATAAACAGTGGTACTGGATGTTCAGGGGAAGAAAGACAGGAATGGGAGAAGGGGACACAGAAAATAAAGTCTGTCACTGTGCTACGTGATTATGCAACACCTTCCATCAAGCAGAGTTCTGACAAATATCTGCTCAGACTTGATTGAAGAAACACAAAAGTTATGAAAATAAACTATATTTGCCTAGTGTATTTACTTGAAGGTGAACAAATAAAAGAAGCATTGGTGTGTGTTTGGGTAGAACTTTATGCAAACTGTGTGATAAAATCGTCATTCACATTTTATCTCTTGGAGGGAGAAAAATGTGAATGGAGGGACCACAAATTTCAAAAGTCCTTGTAGATGCACAAGTCAATTATCATAGTTAACTACTATTCATGATGTGAGCACAAAAATACATTAATGGTCATTGGTATTGTTTCAATTTGTTTCCATTTGCAGGTGTAAAAAAGTCCCTGAATATTATATGTCTGAGCTTTGAATGGAGACGCATTGTTTTTTCTCCTGAGTAAATAGCTCCTTATGCCACAGCTGTTTCTTACAGTGGTTTTAGCATTTTCCATTCCCATGATGAGCAGGTAATTTAGATACTTTCAGCATATGATCACCAAGGTTTAACAATGCCATGTTTTTAATTTCAGATATTCTAAAGAGTGCAAAAATATTTAACTGTAGTTCGTCTTCTTGCTAACTAATGATGTTGAATATTTTTGTGTTGTACTATTTTATCATTTATATGATTTGATGAATTGTCTGATAAATCTTTCTCTCATTTATTTTTAAATTAGGTTCTATCTTTTTCTATTGTTGAACATTAAAAGTTTTTTATGTGTTCTAGGGCAAAGTGCTTTGTTGGATACCTGATTGTAATGATTTACCTTGTTATTGCTAACTAATATTTCATTTCTATTGTCTGTATGTTTTGAAGACAAAAAAGATTATTTTTCTTTGCTTAATTTTATCTTTTTTTGATGAGTAAGTGGGAATGAGTAATTGTGTTTTGAGGTCACAATTAAGTACTAAAATACTTGCTGTTCGAATTTCTTCCCAAAGCATTATAGTTTGAGATTTAAAGTTTATTTTGATGACTCATGATGTTTTAGTTTTGCAGACTAGGAAAGGCTCTGGGCTGACTTCTGCTTGTGTGCTTTGTCTACATTTTAATATGCAGCTTTCTCAGCAAATTTAAAGGCTTCTTATTTCTTCGTATGCTGTCTTAGTTCAAAGGTAAAAACAATGCAATACTTCATGTTTGCAGTGTCACGCACAGGGTCACTCTACACTCTCCTGTCTACATATGCTATTCCAATAAAAAATCAAATATCTATAAAATGATCAAAGCACCAGTGTTAGCTTGACACACCTGACAAGATGGTTGAATGAAATTCAGAGTATCTAGTACAGCTGTGTATTAAAAATGATTAATTAGAAAGATTTG